ATTATAATTATCACCACCAACAAGGTATTATAAGGCAAGAGAAACTGCACATCACTCAGATGTTTCAAAGTGTTTATTTTATTTTATTTAAATCAAAGGTGACTGACCACATTTTTGCAGGTTTTAGCTGTAACTCTTGAAGATATATTCAAATAAAATCATTCTTCAAAACACAAGAATTCCTACATTATATAAAAACTTTGCAAATACTAGCTAGTACTACAAGGCGATGTCAGCCCCACTGGTTTCAAAAAGAAAAAATAGAATTCCAGGTCAGCAAAGCAGTCACACAAGGACATATTCTGCACATTGTGTACGGTTCTGTTAAACAGGGACAAGAATAAAGACAAACAGGAAAACTAATGAAAGGACTGGGGAAAGTAGTTCTACTTTTTTTGCTTCTTAATAACAATTTCTACATCAGTACTTTTTTAGTGAGCACTCCTCAGATAACTCAGTATAGGCAACCTAAAAATATTCCACTCTGGTGCAAATAACAATGACAGACATTTTTCTGACAGTTAACTGCTCTTAGTTGAAAGACTTTGCTCTAACTAATCTCAGGTATGGCTTCATATCCCTAAATCTGTTCTAGATTTACTACAGAATATGACTTAGAGTTGGTCACATCCTGTGAGCTGGTGCATCCTCTACTATAACATGCAAATATTAAGTAATGCTCTTCCTTCATAAGTGTTAAAACATTTAATTGACAAAGTAATTGGGAGAAAAGCCTGCTAGCCAGTCTGTTTTCATCTGTAGGTTAAATCAAATTTCAAAAAAGCAAAATTAAAAATTTCTCCATCATCAGCTGAAAGCATTTCTGACCAATAAGCAATCCTAACTGGAAATGCTAAACATTACCTTTTCCAAATCAGCTAGGCCACAGAGTTATTAAAAAATTCAGTTTAAATTGATGCAAAGTCTGCCCCCTCTACCTACTGCTTTTGCTCTTTACTGGTTTTAAGAATGTTCTTACTCCCAGTTCTTATGAAATTTTGAATCCAGGTAACGATAAAACCAAAACCACAAACTGCAGTCAGTGAGGTTTGAATTCAAATTTGCTTATACTCAAATTAAATGTGTAAGTTCAATGTTTAGAATGAAAATAACAACATAATCTGCAAAATAAATCCTATTCCTGCAATTCATATTCATCAGTTTCCATTAAATTTCCATGAATTAATTTGAATTAATAAGTTATGAAAAATGAAGTTCTTCGTTTTACTTCCATCATACCTAGCATCTTCTTGCTGTAATGCCAGCTGACTATCCAGTCGTAAAGACAACAGCTGCTTTTGATGGATTGCGTCATTAAGCTTCTCTTCTAGCTCTTCAATCTAAATACAAGTTTAAAATGAAGAAAATAAGTTACCTTGGTAGTGTTTAAAGAATACTTTACAAAAAGAAAAAAGAAGAAAAAAGTGAAGAGCCCAATGCACTGTTAAGTGTAATAATGATTGTCTAACAAGACCTCTAAATATGCCAAGACTTCATAAATTGTGGTATGGATTTTGCCCTAATGAAGTAAAAATAAGAAAAGACTTAGTTCTAAAAGTGATTGTTCTCAACAAAATAGCTGTTTGTTCAACTAATTTCAGACTCAGTTTAAACTCAAAAGCAGCAAACCAGGAAAAACAATATAAAGTACGTTGTAAATGTCGACTGCATGCAAATGTGGCAAAGCTTTTACATCTTTTTTAGTTTCATGTATCTTAGTGGAAACATCATAAAATCTCCTATTATTAGCATGTTGGTATACTCTAGCCACAGCTTTATTAACAGATCACTGAATAGCAGTCAGATTAGTTTTTCTAGTATTCCACAAGTTCAGGTTAAAAGCCCTATTAAACCCCTTACAACAGTGATAAAATCATTCTTCATTTCTAAAAGCAAAAAGGTCTTTTTCCTTTTAGAAAAGGAAAAACTAATTCGACCCAATATATAATGACTTGGACAACTCAGCTAAGTTGTCCATCTTTGTTTCCTCCTTTTCTCATTTAAAATAAAACCCAACCAAAATAAACCAACAACACCCCCCCCACACAAAAAAAACCCAACAGAAAAAGCAACTAAGTAGGCTTCCAGCATGCAATTCACAGAAATTCTTTTCAAACTAGAAGTTTCTATGATACTCTAAAACCACCAGAAACAAGATTTCACAATGAAAGAAACGCTTCTTACCTTGGTCAAATACTCTACTTTCAAGTTGTCAATCATCAAGTTTTTTTGAGATAATTCTATTTTAAGCAGCTGAAGATTATGGAGCAACTCCTTCCGTTCAATCAACTGCTTTGTGATTTTAACAGTACCTTCTCTCTCTTCAGAGGAAGAGACATCATCAGTTGGTACTGTGGTTTCTAAGCTAATATCTTCAGACTCCAAGGAGCTAGAAACATTTACTTTCCTGATTTCCTTCGAGCTCTTATGTGACATTTTCTTCCACTATTTGCAAAGCTATTTGAAGCTATACTTTGTGATGAGTCCCCTGAAGAATCAACACAATTAAGTGAAAGGTGTTACGTCATGAAAAATTAACCAGTTAAAGACTACTAAGCAATATTTCTCAGCATCACATCGAACGTTTTTTTTTTTTTGCTCACCCAGGAAAAACATTTTAAGAAGCTCTGAAGAGGGCAGTTGCCTGAGGACTATCTTCTTAAATAGTTATTAGCATGGGGTTTGACTGCAATAAGCTAGATACCAGTGTGAATCAAGCTTACTATTAAGATGTTATAGCTAAATCAAGATGCACACCTGCCATTTATCGTGTCAGAAGAGCATGCACCGAAAACTCCCGGGACCCATGAGGCATATAGTGCCAGAGAACACCCAATAAGGGGCATAATGAGACTTGCTAAAGAAAATACTTTGATGGCCACCTTCCTCTTCTCTGAAGAAGCAACTCCACTATTCTTACTGAGCTAATTAAGAATTCCACATATTTTTACAACCACTCGGTACAGACCACAGCGTTTACTTCAGTGATGCAGGGGCCAACGCAGGCGGTTTCAAGCCCTACTGAGGGGGGAGATGCTGTGCTCGTAGCCCAGGCCAGCACCAGCGGGGCTGCCCCGCAGCGAGGGGCGCGGGGCCCGCCCAGGACGAGCTCTCCCGGGCCGCCACAAGCTCCACAGGGCAGCGCCACCACGCCGTTCCCCACGGCAGAGGCAGCTCGGCGGAGGAGATACTGTTCTACCCGACGAAACGGCCGACTCTGCAGAAGGCAACTGTCCGGCCGAAAACGGCACCGACGGGGCGTGGGGAAGCTGACCCGGGCTC